GAAAGTTTACGTTCATTCCGTTTTTTCTTCCTCTGGAGGTCGAGGAACCCCAGCGTGGCCGCGGGCAGCGCGGCCGGCAGCGTGCAGTCGCCCTTCTGACCGGGCCTCGGCACCCTTCACAGCGTCGGCCGGGGGGGCTGCATGCGTCCAGGCCTCCCAAACGGGGTTCGCGTACAGGGGAGCGGAGGATCACCCCGCATCGCCGATGCATCGGCGCGGTGGCTCAATGAGGAGCCCGATGTTCTCCACGCCGACGGCGCCGCTGCCTCGCCGACGTCGCCAATACATCGGCGATGCATCGGCGATGCGGATCGATCCTACCCAGACCCCAATTGGGAGGCCTCCAGTGCGACAGCGGTTCGGGCGATAGACAGGGCGTCCAGACGGGTGACGGCCGCCGCAGGGCGAAGCGCGCCCGCAGAGTTGACGCGATGTCGCCAAAAAGGGCGTGCCTGCTGCGGTCATGGCGCCGAGGCGTCAGGAAGTGGCGATGCTCGTGTCGAAGCGTTGGCCACCACGCTGGCGCTAGCGCTGCAGAAGCGTTTTGGAGGCACGTACAGGATGGCACCAAGTTTCCCGACGAGGTATCGTTTTATGTCTAGACGCTTCGCGCAACTTCTCCAGCCCATCCAGAAAGGATGCCCAGGCGAACTGCACTGATCAGGCATGTGGAGGAGCACGCAGTGGAATGACGGCTGGGGAGCCGCCATACTCCAAGAGGGGAAGGACGGAGGAGGAACACAAGAGGAGGAGGGGGAGGAGGAGAGGGAGGGGATCCGTAACCTCATGCCCGTGAGAATAATCACTAGGGGATAATAAAGTTCGGGGTTCAGGGAGAGATAATAAAAGTAGCCCAGCAGACCTCAGCATAATCTCGAAGTAAGAGATGATCAAGAGGAGACCAAGCCGAGCACGTTTTGAGACATCCTTGGCGTTTAGTTTTCATAGAAATATCCTCAACAATGGCTTATCTCTCATGAAAATTGTTTTTTGTAAATGCTCGTGTAGGGTAGCTCATGTGCCTCAATTTCCATGGATAATCAACCCCAGAGATAAAAAAGTTCAGGCGAGCGTGGGGACAGAGAGAAATATAAAAGAAGAAGAATATAGTAGAATAATAGTAAGAAGTAAGAAGAAGAGGAGAATAAGAAGAGGACGAAGAAAGGAAAAATCCAAAGTTCCAAATCTATCAATTTTAATTTGCAAACGCTTTATGAACATTGTTTTTTTTAAGTGCTCGTGTAGGGTAGCTCATGTGCTTCATTTTCCATGGATAATCAACCCCAGGGATAAAAAAAGTTCAGGCGAGCGTGAGGACAGATAGAAATATAAAAGAAGAAGAGGAAAGTAGAAGAATAATAAGAACATTGCTCGTTTCGTTTGAGTCTGCCTCCCAAAATTATTGGTTTCGCTTGACACATCCTGAAAAGTGTGATCGCTTCGCTTGATGTTGCTATATCAACATCGCTTGATGTTGCTATATCAACATAGCGTTTCGAGGTGATAATGAAGTTCGGCCTCAGCGCTCGCCGCCCAATTTGAATTTTGTATAGGGCGACGATAATCAACTCTAAACACTGAAGGGGGGGGTCCCTTTATTATCATCGGCATGCGGTTAGCCATTTTGGCTTAAGCCGTGGTCCGAAGCCGCCCTGCGGCAGGGTGCATTCGTCCAGGGACAAGACTCCCGACCAACAGCTGGTCCGACCTCGGCCCCGCTGCTCGCGGCTCGGCTGCCGCCGCAGTTCGGGCACGCGCTCCTTCTGAAAAGTCCCTGCGTACCGCCATGTCTCAGGAGGGGAAAAAACACACAGACACAATTAATCGTCGATTCCCCAGAAAATATGGGAAAATATGGGAATTGGGCGGGAAGACAAACACCCAGAAAATATGGGAAAATATGGGGCATATTTTTATTTGTGTGTATTTATTTGTGTGTCCCAGGGCCCCTTCAATGTCTCACGACGTTGTACTGCTCGCTCCGCTGGATGCAGCGCGGACCTTCCCGTCACAGGTGGTCTCTCGTGATGGCATCGGTAACTCACCTGGCCGCGCAGGGGGAGCCAGCGGTCTGCCCGAAAGCGACGAAGGGCAGACGTGGAGGCCTTGGTCGCGGGATGGCGTCGTGTCGTGCCCGTGCGGAGGGCATTCGCCGTGAACTTCTCGAGGCGTTGGGACAGTTGCAACATTCAGCCCCGGAGTTCGGGAAGCAGGTCACCACCTCGCGCGATGGCCTCCGCAAAAGAATGGGGGTGCGTTTCGCAAAATCCTGGCACTCCAAGATCGTACATGTACCTCGTACATATACCAAAATTGCACAGCTGGAACAGCGTCTGGTGGAGCTCGGACAAATTCTACACTGCATCAAGCTGAAAGAACCGACAGCAGTCATCCTGGACGCCGCGTGCGACCACATCATCATCATCATCATCATCATCATCATCAGCATCATCATCATCATCATCATCATCATAATCATAATCATCATCATCATCATCAGCATCATCATCACCACCACCACCACCACCACCACCATCATCATCATCATCACCACCACCACCATCATCATCATCATTGTCATTGCCATTGCCATTGTCATTGTCATTGTCATTGTCATCACCACCATCATCATAACAAACCTGTGCATCGTCGCCAGGAGCAGAGGCGTCATCACCAAGCGCAACATGCAGTGCAGCCTGTCAGAGTGGCTGGCACTGGCCCAACCCGGACCCGACAATTATTTTCTTTATGGGGATTCAGCTTGTAAGTCGTTCACCCGTCGAGCTCGTTGCGATGCGGCATACGTCGCCAGGAATGCGGCCCAGGCCATCGGATGCCTCAAGATTCAGAATGGGCAGCGGCAGCACCTCGCCTCCCCCGATGTCAACCAGCTCCGACAAAAGCCCCGCGCAAGTCAAGGGGGAGCTCGGGCTCAATCAGCTCAAGAAGTTGCTGGGGTTGGCCAACTGTTCCTTGCGCTTTTCCACGGACAAGGCCAAGGGCGAGATTTCGAGCTCTGAGAAACCATTGGCAAGTCTTACGCTTCGCCCTGGAAAGAGGCCCATCGTGCACTGGTGCGTGGAGAACTTGGTGGCGCTGGGCATTGACAAGGACCCGCCCGCTCGTGACTTCTTACGAGGCGGACAGGTGGCAACAGTGCCGATGTGAACGCTTCAGCCCGCACTTCCGCGGTTGGCGCGGCGCCAGAGATGCTGCGTGTCCCGAACGAGAGAAAGACTTGGAAGCCCGCTCTCTCTTCCACTACACGCCCTCTCTTCGAGAAGAGAAAGTTCACCTGGTTCGTCGCCTCCTTGCTTTCCCTGGCCCCCTGGTCGATCCTCAAGAGAGCCACGGTCGTCCTTTAGAGGTTCGGGACCTGCTCTGTTAGGAGGAGGAAGAGGAAGAGGATAAGGAGGAGGAGAAGGGCGAGCCAAAGCTCAGCAAGGATGTCATGTGCGCCATACAAATTTCGAGATTGTTAATAGTGTATCTGGCCCGCGATGTCCCTAGCTTTTCGCTCCATGTGGGAGCCCCATGGAGCCCTCTGGGCCTCGTGTGAGCTGCTCTGGAGGCCGTGGGGGCATCCTTCGAAATCCTGTGGACCGCTTGGACAAAGGATTCGGGTAACACGCAAACAACGAGAGGAGGGGGGCTAACATATCTCTTGGCTGGGAAAGCTGATGAAACCTCGCGGACAACGTCGAAGTACATCCCCCATTAGTTCCGTCATAATTGCACATCTCATCATCCACATTTTGCTGACCCCGCGTTCAGCACTTCTCAGCTTCACCACACGAGTTCGCAGGGCCGCCGCCATCGAATGCACCATCACTCTGTTCAGGCTGAGTCGCTTCTGCTGTGCACCTTCGGTCCCCTGTGGCTCGGAGGTCGCCCCGTCTTTCCCCGCAGCCATCTTGGACCAGGCTGTGTGGGCCGGACGCCAAGGAACAGCATGAGTTGGCCGGCGTTTGAGGGGATTGAGGGCGATGAGGGCGCTCAGGCGGACACTGCGGCTGGGCTCCAGCGGGCTATCTCGATCGAGGACTTGGAGCGGGCAGCCAAGGGGCTGGCTGCGGGCGTTCGACCCTGGGAGGCCGGTGGCTTCGCCCACTTGAGGACCCCGATGGTGACGGCCACGATGACGGCAACGGTGACAGTATGTTTGTGATTATTGTGGGGCGCGCGCGTCCAGCAATTGCATCAGTAAGAGTTATGCTGGCAGGATGCACACACAAACACACACACACAACACACACACACACGTGCAGGCACACACACACACACATACACATGAGCACACTATGCAAAAAATCCTGATGTCGAGACGGCTCACCAACAATAATAGTTCCCACCGATGTGGCTTCACCAATTGCAGGACATTGCAGGCGGCGCACAATAGCTGCATCCGCGTGGACGAGATGTCCCGCGGGTGCGAGGGGGCGCGAGTGGCTGTGAAGAGATTGCCGACTTGGTGGGCACAAGGCGACCAGGCCGAATTTCGGCGGTGTCATCCTCGTGACGAGGAGCAGCCTTGGCTGGACCTCGCGGTGCTCTCGGAGCTAAATCGCAGGCACTTCCCGTACGCCTGCGACCTCGTGGGCGTGTTCTGCGACGGCGAGTGGACGTATGCCGCGACCCAGTTGGCCAGCCACGGGGATCTATCATAGAGGCTTGAAGTATGCCATTCCGCCGCCCCAGAATGTACGATTTGCAATGATGCGCGCCTTGAGACGCTTCAGAGAGCGCGCTGTCGGGGGGATGGGGTGAGGACGAGGAAGGAGACGAGGATGAGAGCGGCGAGTATGAGGGGAAGGATGAGAGGGTGAGGAGGTGGAGGCAGAAGAAGGAAGAGGGGGAGAGGGGAGAAATAGCTGCGAGGGCGACAGTGGGACCAGCTGAGCAACATCCTCCGCCTTGTCACCCCCCGTAAGGCGGTGGTCTGCAGATTCACTTGGTCCGCCAGCGAGCCCGCCAGGCCAGGCCCCGACCGCGAGGCGGCGATGCGGCCGATCGTCGACCAGCTCTGCACGGCGCTGCGGTGGCTCGGAGTGGCAGGACGAGGGGGAGGAGGGAGCACCGTAATGAGTCACCAAGTCAATGAGTCCAATGAGGCCCCCAGTTTGAACTCTTACGGGCGAGCAGACAGGAGGCGCGTCCACAAATAATTATGAAGAGTTTGGAAACAAGTCTCCTCCATGGATGTTTGGAAGACTGTCACTTGGTGTTTTGCCAAATGATGGCCGACATCTGCTCGTCAGAGTGAGGGACCGAACGGTCATTCACTGTCCCTGGGCTCGTGGCTGAGATGAGATTATGCGGTGCGGATTGTCGTTGTTGTTGTTTTTGCCGCTGTAGTTGTGTTTGTTGTTGGTGGTGGTGTTGTTGATTTTGTTACTGTCGTTGGTTGTTGCTGTTTCTTGTTGTGTGATGTTGTGTTTGCTGCTGCTGTTGTTGTTGATGTTGCTGCTGCTGATGTTGTTGTTGGATGTTGTTGTTCTTGATGGTGTTGGTGTTGTTGTTGCTGCTGCTGATGATGGTGTTGTTATTGTTGTGTTTAGTTTGTTGTTGTTGCTGATGTTGTTCTTGGTGGTGGTGTTGTTGAGGTTGTTCTTGTTGTTATTGGTGTTGTTGTTTGTTGGTGTTTGTTGTCGTCGTCCACCCCTCCCCGCGACCCAGCCCGCGACCCACCCGCGACCCACCCGCGACCCACCCCGCGACCAACCCGCGACCCACACGCGACCCACCCCAGGACCCACCCGCGACCCACCCGCGCGACCCACCCGCGACCCATCCGCGGCCCGGCCCGCGACCCACCCGCGACCCCCACCCGCGACCCAACCGCGACCCATTTGCGACCCACCCTACGAACTGCCACCGTTTTCTTTAACGAGCAAATCGGCGCCTGCGGCGAGCTCGTTGTATATTTTGGTAAGAATGTGCCTCCTGCGGCGGACTCATTCAGAGCCTCGCAACTGCGGGGGCTACGGTATTATGTTCAACGTTGTTTCACTTGCTGCCGAAGATGGTTTTCTGCGACCGAATTAGGTTAAAAGTAGTTTCACCGCATCAAATGGCCTTCGGCCCATCTCGGGGTCATAGGTCTTTCGGATGTTCGCTGGGAGGTCGCGGGAGGCCTCTCTGAGGCATCGTGGGTGCCGTTTTGAAGCCTATTGAGGGCTGAGTTGGGGCCTTTTGTGGCGTCTTCGGAGGTGAGCGGCCCGCTTCCGCTTCGCCCCGCGCATACCGCGCAAAGTTCGTGAGGTGGGAGTGTGAGGCCATTGTCGCCGCGCGCCCCCCAAGCAGTCCAGCAGACCCTGACCCAAGGACGCCAAGAAAGCCCTTCAGTAGCAAAGGGGAACGGGAGGAGGAGCAGGAGGGGGAGGATACGGAGGAGAGATCAGGAGGGTGGAATGGGAGCAGGAGGGGGAGGATACAGAGGAGAAATCAGGAGGGTGGAATGAGGAGGAGGAGGAGGAGGAGGAGGAGGAGGAGGAGGAGGAGGAGGAGGAGGAGGAAGAAGAGAGAGCGAGCGCGAGGCCGACGGCGCAGGTTCGCTCCGCCGAGCCGCGCGGCCGCGGCCGCGCGTCTTCAGGGGTCCTGCACCGCATGGCCAGGACCCCTGGCCACGCGGGCCCGCCCGAAGGCAAGGCCCCCGACCGTGAGGAAGCCGACCTCCGAGACGGACTTACCCATGCCGTTCAGGGAGGCGGCCGCCCGGCCGCAGCGAGGCGGTCGAGGTTGCCCTGGAGCGCCTGCAGGTCCGCCGCGAAGGTGTCCCTGCACTCGGCCGCGACCGCGGCGCCGCCTGCTCCCAGAGCAGGCGTCGCGCGCGCCGCCGCCGCCGCGCCCCAGACCTCGACCGCGTCGGTGTCGGTCCTGCGGATCTGCCGTCGAGGAGCGGGCGGGGCCACGCCGGGGCCGCGGCCCGCCACCAGCCCGTCCGCCCACTCGTCGTCCAGCTCCTCCTGCATCTCGGCCGGCTCTGCAGCGGGCGCAGCAGCGACCTCCAGGAGACGGAGGCCCGCGGGGGCAGGCTGCGGGCGGCGCTGCCGCCGCGACCTGCGACCACCCCCCACGGCGCCGTCCATCTCGGCGTCACCGCGCGTCTCGCCGCCGTCGGCGCGAGCAGCGTCGGCCGCGGCCCCGCCGCAGCCCGCAGCGCCGCCACCACGACCACCACGCCCCCGTCGCCGTCGCCGCCTCCCAGGGGCAGCAGCAGCGCCAGGCGCGGGCGCGGGCGGCGGTGTGGCGGGAGCCCGAACGCTCGCCACCGCCGCGCGCAGCAGGCCCTCGGCGGCCCGCAGCAGGCGCACTCCCGACTGGGAGTGGCCCGCCGCGAGGCCCGCCGCGGCGTGCGTCGCCAGGAGCGCCCCGCGGGCTGCTTCCTCGGCGACGCGCTGCTGCGAGAGCGCACCTGGCATTGCCCCGCAGCGAGCGCGGCGCGGCCGCGGCCCAGCGATGCGGAGTTGAGCCCAAATGGTATTGGAGGAGGAGGAGGAGGAGGAGGAGGAGGAGGAGGAGGGGGAGGAGGAGGACGAGGAGGAGGACGAGGAGGAGGAGGAGAAGGAGGAGGAAGAGGAGGCAGAGGAGGAGGCGGAGGGGGAGGAGGAGGAGGAGGCCTTCTCAGAAGGCAGCGGGGCTTCTCGGAAGCCATCGGGCCTTCTGGGAGGTTGTCGGTGTCTTCGGGGACGGCTTGGAAAACTGCTCAGAAGGCCCGGGGGGCTTCCGAGACTTCTGAGAAGGCCCGCCCCTTCTCACTTCCCCCTGGGGCTCGCCGCTGAAGGGTCCACATCGTCACCGTGGGGGAAAGGGGTCCGGCGGGAAACGGGTCCCGAGGTGTTTCGTCCGTTTTTGGGCTCACGAGGCCCTCCACGGGCCCAGAGACTGCCAGAAAGCGGCGCAGGATGAAGATCCCGTCCTGGGGGGAGTCCCCGGGGTCCTGGACCCGTTTCTGTCCGGACCCGTTTCCCACAGAGGGCGTTCCAGGAAGGGATTTGTCTTTGAGCATAGGAGGAGTTGTCATCTTTTCCGCGGCGGAAGGCGGCGGAAGTGAAACGAGGCCGCCTCCGCTGGCGGAAGCCGGCGGAAGTTCGTTGGAAGGCGGCGGAAGTAAAACATGTCCCCCCAAAGAGATGAAAACGTTTTTTGGGCTCAGGGTTTCCGAAATCCCCCGCGTGCTAAATTTCGAAGCGTGTCGATCGGATCTGCTATCGGTTCTGGCCGAGCCGATCCCGATCGAGTCCAGTGCGCTCTGGCCATGCGGTGCGACCCGATGCCTGCACGGCGCTGGTGTGCATCCTTGGGCGCAGCCGGTCCGAGTTGATTGTGGTTCCGTGCCGGTGCGGCCCGATCCGACGCACGTTCCAATCCTCGGGGGCGGCACAGAGGGGGGTGAGGATTAGGGGGTGGGATATCGCGGCGGGGGCCATGATATCTCCCCAGATTTCATGGCGCCTCTTCTTATTTCAATTCGTCCCCGGCCCCCCCTTGGCCGGCGGCTTGGACGGCCCCCTCTTGGCCGCCCCCGAAGTCCGATCCGATTTCCCGATTCAGTGTTTTGATTGTCGGCGGTTCACAGACGGGGTCCTGTGGGATGGGGTCCTAGGGACGGGGTGTCTCATCAGACGACGCCAATCCACGCTTGCGTCCCTTCCTATCCTCAGGTCCCCACCCCTCGGGATCCCATCTTTTCAGAGCCCCGAATCATCAGGGGTAACTCGGGTCAGGGCTAACTCGGGTTCGTTTTTCTGGAATCCGAACCCGACTTACCCCGGACCCGAGCTACCCCGGATAATTCGGGCGTCCAGAGCCCTGAATCATCAGGGGTAACTCGGGTCAGGGGTAACTCGGGTTCCTTTTTCGGGAATCCAAACCCGAGTTACCCCGGACCCGAGTTACCCCGGATAACTCGGGCGCCCAATCTTTGAGCCATCGAGATTGACCCTCCCCTTCTCCCCTCCTGCCTCGTCGTCCAGGCCTTCGACGGCCCACGCGGCGTCCTGCGCCGGCGGGCGGCCGGGAGCCTGTTGTTTGTCCGGGTCCGCCGGTGCTCCGGGGTCATCGGGCCCGCCCGCCCCCCAGGGCGGTTCGGTCGCCCCGTCTTTCCCGGCGAAAGTAAGGATTTCAGGAGGGGAAAAAGCACACAGACACAATGAATCGTCGATTCCCCAGAAAACATAGGAAAATATAGGAAGTGGGGGGGGGAGACAGAAACCCAGAAAATATAGGAAAAGATTGGGAACCTGCTTATTTCTGTGTATTTATTTGTGTGTCCCAGGGCCCTTTCAAGATTGCTAGAAAATGCAGCACCGTCGCCACACACACAGTTTCTGGACTTTCCCGGAGCGCCGGAGTGGTGGCACATGTGGAGGTGGGCCTCGCTGTCCATCATCCTTACCCTGGGTCTCGAAGACGTCCTCGTGATTTGAGGTGCCTGTCATGCTGAATCGCAGGGCTGCCCACTGCTATGTCTTAGTGATCGTTCTTTTATTTTTTTTTTGCTTTCGGCGTAACCCCCCCCCCCCCCCCCTCCCCCCGTAGAGAAGTTATGGGCTGATTTTGGCACCTGCTTCAGTCGATCGGACGAACTACGGGGGCCGGCGCCCCCCCCCCCCCCCCCCGTAGAAACTCGAATCGTTGATGTGTGCAACTCGAATCGTTGATGTGTGCAACTGTGCGATGGGAAGAATTGGTCTAACCAGGGTTGGCCAGAGGAGGTTGCGCAGATCCGATGGTAAGCGCGGGCATACGTGAGGGTGCCCAAAGCGAAAAGGTTGAGTCATCGGCCGCACCCCCCCCACGGATAACCTTGGTGATCGCCGAACCTGAAAAATCGGTGTCCATCTCTGCCTCCACTCCAGAGCTACAGTCAACCCGCATGATAAGAATGGGTATCTTTCCCAAGGGTACCCTTGCATCCTTGCCTCCTCGGTCCATGCTTGGCCACTTTCGTTGGCCGCGCTCCGCTCGAAAAGCTTCGAAATGGGCGTCCAATGCCCTTGCATCTTTATTGCGCGTCCTTATGATACAGGCCGACTGTAGGCCGACGGAAGCCACCATCTCTCTCTCTCTCTCTCTGTATCCCCCTCTCTCGGAGGTGGCTTCACGAGCTGGGCGTAGCGCACTGCGACCTCTGCCTGGAGAACGTGGTGCTGGCGGGAGGGGAGCCCGGCGGGGCAGCACCCCTCCGCCCGATGCTCATCCCGAGGAGGAAACGCCGGCACAGACATACACTCCCCCAGGAGGGGAAGGGGGAGGAGGAGGAGGAGGAGGAGGAGGAGGAGGAGGACGAGGAGGAGGGAGGAGGAGACAAGGAGGAGGGCTCAGTTCGACTCCTCCGACTCGGTTCGATGTGATGTCGATCGATCCCGACTCCGATTTCATTCGACCTCGGGTTCCGATTTGGGCCTGGGTTTCTCAATGGAGGCCTTGATGGCTGGTCGATGTTCGCCGATTCTACTTCTCCCGACCTGGCTGCCGATTTCCGCCGATCGGGTTCGCTTCGATCGCCGATCCGACTTACGGTCAGGAAATTGTTGATAGCGTGTCGCTCAGCCGGTTCTGGCCCACTACGCCTCGGCGCGACGCGCTAATTATCCACGCCCCCAGGCCCCCAGGTTTGAACGTCCCGAGCTTCTCCCCGCCTCCCGCGGAGCGGAGCGACACGCGATCCGCTCGCATGGCACAGCGTGTCGCCAGGGCCGCCGCGGCGACAAGCAAAAGTTCCCGACCGTCGATACTCGGAGATCCTCGAGGAGTTCTTGGGATCGGCGCTGGATCCCCTTGGCGGCGCCTCTGGCGCCAGCCCTGGCCGTCCAGCGCCGACCCACGAAGTCTGCGCGGACCTCCGAACGTTCACTCGGAGGCTCCCAGACCGTGCGGTGCACCCATGTACAGTCGGGGCGCTGAAGAAGGAACCCTTTTCGTTGGGGAGGGGTTCCGTGTTTCAGTGTTTCGGAGTTCGCCTCAGGTTTCCCGCAGGCTTTTATGAGACATTAGAACTAATGTATGGAAAATGATCCCAGTGCGACGCTACCTAGGAGTTGGAGCCCCTAGGAAAGCAGCATTAGTAGTAACAGTAAAGCTGAGCTAAAGCTAAGCTGAAGCTAAGCTAAAGCTAAGCTGAAGCTAAGCTGAAGCTGAGCTGAAGCTCAGCTGAAGATAAGCTGAAGCTAAGCTAAAGCTAAGCTGAAGCCAAGCAAAGCTAAAGCTAAGCTAGCGCTAAGCTAAAGCTACAGCTAAAGCTAAGGCCAAAGCTAAAGCTAAGCTCAAGTTAAGCTAAAGTTAAGCTAATCATAAGCTACAGCTAAGCTAAAGCTAAGCTAAAGCTAAGCTAAAGTTAAGCTAAAGCTAAGTTAAATCTAAGCTAAAGCTACAGCTAAAGCTAAAGCTCCCAGGGGACTGGGGGAACCGCGGGGCGGATCCTGGGGGAACCGCCCGGGGCGTGCCCCTCTGCCCGGCCTTTTAAGCCTCAGAGTAAGAACCCTTCTAGGCAGAGCCCAGGTAAGGAATAAGATGAAGCTAAGCTAAGGTAAGATGAAATAAGCGAAGCTAAGATGAGATAAGCAACGCGAAGCTAAGGGAACGTCACTGGGGGAACCGCGGGGCGGATCCTGGGGGAACCGCCCGGGGCGTGCCCCACTGCCCGGCCCTTTAAGCCTCAGAGTAAGAACCCTTCTAGGCAGAGCCTAGGTACGGAAAAAGGGCGTCGTTTCTTAGTTAGTTAGGGTTCCTTAGGTCAGAAAGAGCGCGTTTTGTGGTCGCTTGGAGGAGGGGGGGTTGGAACCGGACCCCCTACCCCTCCCGGGGACGGAGGGAGGGCGATTCGCCCCCCCCCCCCCCCCCCCCCCCCCCCCCCTTCCCTACTTCTCCTCTCTCCCTCTCCTCTGGCCTGCGCTTGCGTCGGCGGCGGGCGGCGGCGGCGGGGAGCGTCGACGAGGACGACGTGGTGTGGTGGTGGTGGTGGGTGTGGTGGTGGTGGTGGTGGTGTGGTGGTGTGGTGGTGGTGGTGGTGGTGGTGTTGGTGGTTGTGTGGTGGTGTGGTGGTTTGTCGTGGTGGTTGTGGTGGTGGGTGGTGGTGGTGGTGGTGGTGGTGGTGGTGGTGGTGGTGGTGGTGGTGGTGGTGGTGGTGTGGTGGTGGGTGGTGGTGGTGTGGTGGTGTGGTGGTGGTGGTGGTGGTGGTGGTGGTGGTGGTGGTGATGGTGGTGGTGACGAGGTGGTGGTGGTGGTGGTGTGGTGATGTGTTGTGGTGGTAGTGGTTGTGGTGGTGGGTGGTGGTTGTGGTGGTGGTGGTGGTGGTTTGGTCGTGGTGTGGTGGTGGTTTGTGGTGGTGGTGGTGGTGGGTTGTGGTGGCGGTAGTTTGGTGGTGGTGTGGTGGTGGTTTGTGGTGGTGATGGTGGGTTGTGGTGGTGGCGGTGGTTTGTGGAGGTGGTGCTGGTGGTGGTGGTGGTGGCGGTGGCGGTGGTGGTGGTGGTGGTTTGCTGGTTCAAGGTGGTGGTAGTGGGTTGTGCTGCTGGTACTGGTGGTGGTTGTGGCGGTGGTGGTGGTGGTGTGGTAGATTGTGGTGTTGGTGGTAGTGGTGGTCGGTTTTCGTGGGGGTGGTGGTGATGGTGAGTTGTGGTGGTGGTGGTGGTGGTGGTGGATGGTGGTGGCTGTGGTGGTGGTGATGGTTGTGTGGTGGGTTTGTGTGGTGGGTTGGTGGTTGTGGTGGTGGGTTGAGGCGGTGGTGGTGGTGGTAGTGGTGGTGGTGGTGGTGGTAATCGTCGCTGCGTCCCCGCCGTCGCCGACGCCAGCGCCAGCGCTTCTGGCCGCCGCCAGCGCCAGCGCCGGCGCCTGCGCAAGAGGGGGAGGGGGGGACCCCCCCCCCTGAGCTGCTTCTGGTCATCGTCGCTGCGTCTCCGCTGTCGGCGCTGCTGGCGGCCGCCAGCGCCGGCGCCAGCGCCAGCGCCGAGGGGGGGAGGGGGGTTTGAACCCCCCCCCTGGGTTGCACCTGGTCATCGTCGCTGCGTCCCCGCCGTCGGCGCTGCTGTCGGCCGCCAGCGCCGGCGCCAGCGCTGGCGCCGAAGGGAGGGGGGGTTTGAACCCCCCCCCAGAGCTGCCTCTGGTCATCGTCGCTGCGTCCCTGCCGTCGGCGCGTTTGGACCCCCCCCGTTGGAGGGGGAGGGGGTTCGGAAGGGGGGAGGGGTTGGGGGGAAGGGGAGTCCCCCTGGTTTAGATCGACGGCGCCGAGTGTTGGGGAGGGGTGGGGGGGCCCACCCCACGGTTCGAAACGCGCCGCCGAATGTTCCCAAGGCAAGCGCCCGTGAAACGCGCTCTCTGTTAGGTCAACGCCCCGACTGCAGTGGTTCAGCTGAACCTCGTGGTGACCGCACGGTGTTGGGACTTGTGGGTCGTTTTCCGAGGACGTCTCGGGCGATGGGAGGGGGCGAGGCCCCAAGGCCGTGCAGTGACGGACCGTGCGGTGAGTACGCTAAAAAGTTTGTTTGTTTACCCTCTGCACCTCCTCCCCAACTTGCATGCTGGCCAAATCGCTACAACGGTGTCCCCGTTTAGTTAGCTTCCGCCAGCGCAGACGACCCGCTCCCCATAACGTAACGCCCCCCCCCGGTGCGCCCCCAGCACTGCCGCAGTGCGTCTGGCACCACAGTCTGGGGGGGGGGGCTACGTGATGCCCCCTCCCGTCCCTCCCCCTTCCCCCCCCCGCCATAACTCAGGAAGACAATTATCGGGTTGGGAGGTTGGGGCTGGGAGACATGAGGAGATACTTACCCGTAGGGGGCCGAAGGTATCGTTCATTGCATCTGGATGCTAGTTCTCATGCCCTTCATCCTCCCAGCCCCTTCCTCCCAACACGATAAGTTTCTCCGCGATAGCGCCCGCCATGGCCGCGGGGGAAAAAAAAAAAAAAAAAACAAAAAAAAAAAAAAAAAAAAAAAAAAAAAAAAAAAAAAAAAAAAAAAAAAAAAAAAAAAAAAAAAAAAAAAAAAACATGTTGTCTTTGATGTGTCGAGGTCACCGCACGGCCCGTCACCGCACCGCTCCCTGAGAGGCGATGTCCCGACCCTTGGGACCAGCTTCTCATCCCGAGCTGTTCTTCGACGGCGCCAGGCCCGGGCACGGGCCTCCAGAGGCCCGAAACGGCCACAGACCTCCCGTCCTTTCTTTTCTCACGACGCGAGCATGCCTGGGGCCCAGACCCCCTCGCGCTGTGACAAAATTGCGGCGGGAGTTGCTTCGCTACTCTCGGCCTCCAGGGGCCCCTCCCGGGCCTCGGGACCGCCACCACACGGTTCAGGCTGACAAGCCGGTCCCAGGGAAGGGGTCCAGACCTCTGGGAAATTGCCTGCGCCGGGGCCACCTCCTCCTCCTCCTCCCCCCCTCCTCCTCCTCCTCCTCCTCCTCCTCCTCCTCCTCCTCCCCTCCTCCTCCTCCTCCTCCTCCTCCTCCTCCTCCTCCTCCCTCCTCCTCCTCCTCCTCCTCCCTCCTCCTCCTCCCTCCTCCTCCTCCTCCTCCTCCTCCTCCTCCTCCTCCTCCTCCCCTCCTCCTCCTCCTCCTCCTCCTCCTCCTCCTCCTCCTCCTCCTCCTCCTCCTCCTCCTCCTCCTCCTCCTCCTCCTCCTCCTCCTCCTCCTCCTCCTCCCTCCTCCTCCTCCCTCCTCGATCCTCCTCCCGTCCTCCGGGGGTTGGGGGCCCCTTGGAGCCTTTGTGCTCGGCGCTTCGCCCTCGGCCGTCGACTTCGGCAGGGCCGCCCTCGGGCGCCTGCAGGGCGTGCCGGGCGGGCCCCAGGGGGGCTGCCAGGCGAGGGCGCCGCGCGCTCAGAGCGGGCTCCCGCGGCCTCGCCGGCCGATCGGCCGCTCCGGCCGGGCCACGGGCGCGGCCGGCGGGCGGAGGGCGAGGGGCACCTCGGCTCCACGCAGGAGGAGCGGGGGCGGCGAAGAGGGGGGTGACGACTAGGGCAGAAAAAAACGCCCCTACCGTGGTTTACGAGGCGCTGTGCGCTGAAACTCCTGTGGGCTGACAGGGTAGACCCTGCGTAATTGTGCCGCGTCCTGGCGGCTCTCCAGGCTTTTTGGGGGGTTCCCAGGAGGTTTGCAGACCGCGCACTTGGAACCCAGGGCAGGGTCGTTTTTTCATCCCTCAAGCCTCGCCGGCCGATCGGCCGCTCCGGCCGGGCCACGGGCGCGGCCGGCGGGTGGAGGGCGAGGGGCCCTTCGGCTCCACGCAGGAGGAGCGGGGGCGGCGAAGAGGGGAGCGACGACTAGGGTCAAGTCGGGCCTGTCCCTCTACAGGGGGAACATTGAGCGGGCGGAAGGCGAGGGGCCCTTCGGCTCCACGCAGGAGGAGCGGGGGCGGCGAAGAGGGGGGCGACGACTAGGGTCAAGTCGGGCCTGTCCCTCTACAGGGGGGATATTCAGAAATAGCACGAAAATAGTCAGGGGACGATTGTTTGAATCTGTTTGGGAGTATTTTCCATTGTTCGCCCCAAATATCCCTGTAGGGGGACACGCCCGACCTAAGACTAGGGGGGTGGATGTCATGGCGGGCGCCATGAGATCTCCCCAGATTTCATGGCGCCTCGTCGTATAAGAGTACGTCCGCTGCCCCCCCTGGGCCGCGCACGTGCCGCCGGCCATGATTTGCGATCCCCCTCTTGGGCGCCCCCCTCGTGGCCGCCCCCGAGAGGATGGGAGTGAGACCCTGAGATCCGGGCGTCGCGATTTTTTCACACTGGGCGTCTTCGCTCGTTTTGGGGCCTGAGGGACCCTCACAGATCGAGCCAGCTGGAAAAAATGATTCAAAAAGTTGGGACCCGGAGCTCCGGTCGTGATTTCTCACGAGGTTGCAATTTTTCGCAACGTCGGATCTCAGGGGAGAAGGAAGAGGTACGGTACGGCTGCCCTCGCCTCGTTTCCCTCTTGCTCTGCCTCCTGGGACGCCCTCGTCGTCACAGCTGGATTCGCTTCGAAATTCTGGTCAGAGCGCAACATGGGAGAGGTTCAGTAGAGGTCATGGCGTCGCAAATTGTTTGAGTCGGGCGTTTCCGCTTCATTTAGGGCCCTGGGGCCATCAGAGATCGATCCGGCTCGAAAAACAGCGCAGAAAGAATGGGGTCGAGGGCTCCAGTCGTGAATTGTCCTCGGTTTGTAACTTTTTCGCGACGACGGGCGTCAGGGGAGGAGGAGAGGAAGAAGGAGCGCCACCTTCGCTGAGCGCTCAGCGGACGTATGGACCATCTTGTTGAATGGCAGGGATGAGGTCGGCCCGCTCAGTCTGCTCCCAGCCATCCACTTGACCCCCCAGCATAGATGCTGACGCATCATCATAGCATGCCTGGGCATGGCCATGTGGATGCCTGGGCATGCCAGTGCGGATGCCTAGGCATCCGCATGGGTATGCCGACGCATGCATCGATGGATGCGTCTACTGACGTAGCTGGACGCAGCTGGGCGAAGCGGATGCCTAGGCGTCGACCTGGTGATGCCCAGGCATCGAGATGGCGATGCCTGGACATCGGAAGGACGGTGCGCAGGGGTAAACATCAGTGGTTCCAGGTACCAGAGCCGGAGGAGGAGGAGGAGGAGGAGGAGGAGGAGGAAGGAGGAGGAGGAGGAGGAGGAGGACGGAGCTGCCCCACCAGGGGCGGCGCACCCTGCGCCTCTCCGCCACGGGGGGAACCCCTCCAGGGGCCAATTGGGGGCGCCGCGAGGCCTGCAACGGGTGCCGCGCAGGCGCCCCGGGGGCATGCGCCACAGAGGGCGGGGACGCCAAGAGGACAGCACCAGCGCCGCGAATCTGACGGGGCAGCAGAGAGAGGAGGAGGCATGTTCTCGGGGGAGAAAAAGATACGGATACGTGTTGTCCCCCTTCGTTTTCGGCCTTTCCTGGCCCTCCTGGGGAATCCTCGTTGTCACCGCTGGATTCGCCTCGAAATTCTGGTCAGAACGCACCCCAAGAGAGGTCCGGGGACAACACGTATCCGTATCTTTCTGCCCCCCAATGTTCGTGCTGATGTCGATGCTGGTGCTGATAATGATGCTGCTGTTGCTTCTGTTGCTGCGGCTGGTGCTGGTGCTGATGCCGATTGTGGAGGTGATGTTGGTGATGGTGAGTATGATGGTGATGATGATGCTGATGGTGATGATGACAATGATGATGATGATGATGATGATGATGATGATGATGGTGATGACGGCGATGGTGGGAGTGGTGGTGGTGGTGGTAATGCTGACGATGGTGACGAAGTCGATGGCGATGGTTGCAATGACGATGGCGACGGCGATGCCTATGCTGATGATGATGGTGAGGAAGATGATGAGGATGACGATGGCGATTTCGATGACGATTATGATTGTGATGATGATCGTGATGATGGTGGTAATGATGATGCTGGTGATGATACCGATGATGAGGATGATGATGATGATAATGATGGTGTTGGTGGTGATGATTGTGATGACGATCGCGATGACGATAACGGTGACGATGACGACTACGACGACGATGGCATTGTGAAGACTACGAAGATGATTTCGGTAATAATGATGAGGATGCAGATGAGGCTGAGTATGTTGATGATTGTCATAGTAATGACGACGATGACGATGCTGATTGTGACGTCGATGGTGATGACGATTATGTTGATGATGAGGGTGAGGATGAGGATGATGATAAGGAAGTGGTTGCGGATGATGCTGGTGTTGATGATCATGAGGATCATTAGATTGATGATGGTGGCGATGATGATGGTGATGATGATGATGATGATGCTGAAGATTCACGTCTCCGCGAAAGTGTCCCGGCACTCACATCTGAGCAGTGGTTGAGTTGGCCAGGGCAAATGACAATGATCATGATGATGATGGCGATGATGATGGTGGTGCTGGTCATGATGACAATGATGAGGATGATGATGATGAGATGAGATGGGATGATGATGAGATAAGATGAGATGATAGGTGGTGAGATGAGATGAAATGAGGAGGAACAAGAGGAGTAGGAGGGGAAGGAGGGGGGAAGGGAGGGACGGGGAGAAGGAGGAGGGGAGGGGGAAGGGGAATGAGGAGGAGCAAGAAGAAGAGAAGGATGAGGAGGAGAAGGAGGAGGAGGAGGAGGAGGAGGAGAAATGAGAAGAGGAGGGAGAGGAGGAGTGAGAGGAGGAGGCGTCACCGCATAATGAGGCCCTACAGGGCGCCCGAATTGCACCGTGTTGGCTGGCAGTACGACGCGTTCCTGGCCGACGAGTTCGCCCTCGGCGTCGCGGTGTACGGCATGGCCACGTCGGGCTCTCAGCGCCTCTTTCCAACTCCCACTCCTCGTCCTCCCTCCAACTCCTCCCTCCATCCTTTCCTCCTCCTCCTCCTCCTCCTCCTCCTCCTCCTCCTCGTCCTCCTCCTCCTCCTCCTCCCCTCCTCCTCCTCCTCCTCCTCCTCCTCCTCCTCCTCCTCCTCCTCCTCCTCCTCCTCCTCCTCCTCCTCCTCCTCCCCCTTGCTGCACGGCCACGCTCCACCTCCTTCCCCCTTGCTGCCCAGCCCCATCTCTCCTGAGCACCTCCGTTGCGGCAGTTTTGCCGGCACTGCGCTCCGTTCGTACGTCTCGCCGCGATCGCTGGCTTTGTCCGTTGGGCCCCCTGCTCTTCTGCTACGTTCGGTTCCTCCATCTCCTCCTCCTCCTCCTCCTCCTTCTCCTCCTCTTCCTTGTGCCGTCTTGGCCTAAGCTCGTGCACAGCTGGCCCCGCCGACGCCGTCCGGATGCCTCGTGCGACCGACGGGCGCCACGCCGACCCGGAGGCTGCGCGCGGCGCCCTCTTGACGGCCCACGCCGCCAGCGGCCGAGCCGGCAGCCCCCTCTCGCGTCGCAGCCTCGCCCGAGGAGGGCGGGCCCGGCCTCGCGGCCGCAGGGGCAGGAGCGCGGCACGCCCCTATGCCGCGGGGCGGGGCCCCGAGCAGGGCTCGTTCCGATGCCTCCGATTCGATTCGATTCGGCTTCGATGGATTCCGACTCCGATTCTGATTCGATTTCGGATTCCGATGCGGGCTCCGATTTCTCATTCGACGCGCGCGGGCCTTCCGATTTCTGCCGATTCGACTTCTCCCGGCGCGGCTGCCGATTTCCGCCGTTCCCACTCATTGATTCGAGTATGGGTCCCCCTGCCCGAGGGGCGCGGCGGCAGCCGGCGACGGCGCGGACGGCTCGGGCTCGGACTCGCCCGAAGGACGAGTGGGCCGAGTGCCTCCCCCCGCGGGCCGTGGGGTCGCCTGCGGCGCCTTGGCGCGCAGCGGCTGAGCCACCTCCAGGCGCAGCCCTTCAGGGGGAGGGACCGCAGCTGAGCGGCAGCGGGCAGCGGCGCGGGCGCGGTGGCGCCGGCGCGGCATACGGCCACTGCGCCGTCGGCGGCGCACGGCTTCTCCGAGGAGCACGTCGCGGCGCGGCGCGCCCTGCAGCGGCGGGCGGCGGAGGCGCTGGTTCGCGGGTAAGCCCTCGTGGCGCTCGTCGGGCTCGGCGTGGACCCGTTCGCGGCCGGAGGGGTCCAGGAATGGCCAGGTCCAGTCTTGCGCACAGGGCGCACGCGTGCGCGACTTGCCAGCGCCTAAGAAGAAAGAAGAAGTGAGCAGCCTGATGCATGCGTTTGTCGTGGCGGCTCTTCGCTTGTGAATGTAAGGAAACGCTGCGTTGCATGTCATGGATACGGTACCTACGCGCTTTGGAACTTAGCAAGCAACGGAATGTGTGATGCCCTGAAGGAGATCATTCATTGTTCAAGTTGACTTTTAAAGTAGAAAGCGCACGTTTTGAAAGGTTGCCCTGGCAGAACGAGGCGTGGAGTTTGGCGAAGCGCTGTCCGACCCACGAAGCGCAGTGTTCTATCGCTGAGGCACCGGAAGGGGGGATGACCCAAACATCTTCTTTGAACGACTTCCGTTTCAGAGGCCATCTGAGGGGGCCAAAAGATATTGCAGAGTCCTTGGGATCAGTGTTGATGTAGGAGTCCGCGGTGCACATTCTTGGCGTTGTGGTGCAATGTTGCGTTGGCGGCGTCTGCGACCCCCGCGACCCAGTTTGGCACCCCGCCGTCGAAGCCGCATCTGTGGAGAAGTAGGTCAGGATCTGCTGGGCACGCGTCCTCCCCGCGGGCTGCGGTCGCCCGGCTCTCGCGCGGCTGGGTCGCACTACTGCGGACGGCGCCGTCGACGGCGCGCGGGGGGCCGCGGGGCAGACGGGCGCAGTCCGAGGGCAAGACGGCTGCAGGAAAGGCTGCCAAGAAGGCGGAGCTGCTTCAACGACACTCCTGCGGTGTGGCGGCAGGCCCTCCCTTTCGCCCCGCCGCCGCCCGCGCGTCGCCGACGGTCGGCCCGCGAGCGAGCCAGCGAGGCATAGCCAGGTCATCGCGTCAGTTCTTCGAGGACCAGACCCCCGATTTCGACGACGCCTTGGCGCCCGAGGTCGAGGCGGAGCTCCCTGCGAAGCCGTTCTGGACCTGCCACGTGGGCAGGTCGGGCTCCGCGCTGTCTAAGGGCGACAAGCGGCCCACCTCCTTGATAAGCACGCGTCGCACAGGTCCTCCACGGAGCGCCGGCACCCCTGCACGCTTCGGCGCGCGCCGCCCCAGCCCGCGCAGCGGAGGCCCCCCCCCCCCCGCGCGCGGACCACGGACGTCTCAGTCGCCGTCCCGGCGCTCGAAGTCGCAGCGTCTCAGCCGCGAAACCCAGCCACTGCGTGGCGTCCGCCGCAGCCGCTGCCCCCTTTCCGCCGCAGCGCTCCGCCGAATCGCGCCGCGCGCTCACCTGAGACGCGCCGCGAGGCCCGGGAATCCCCCCCGCCGCGGGGGCCTTGGCGCTCGGCGGCTCGAGGGCGCATCGGGGGGGAGAGAAGAGCGCAAAACATGCCGGGCAACCCCTCCCCTGCGCTGAACAAGTCCCAACGCATAGCTGGATTTATGCGCAGCGCTAGTCGAGGCCTCGGGCTGGACGCGCATGCGGACGGCCAGCGTTCCACGTGTATCCACCGGTCTGCCTCATCAGCTGTTCGCGATGATGTTCCTGCGGCGACGCACGCAGGAAAAAAGTAACCGCGTTGTCCGAGGCTCATGAGTCGCGCGCTGGATTGGCGCGTGCTGCGCGGTCTCGTCTTTGCCGCCCTTCCAGAGTAAGAGGAAAGCGCCGTCTTGGGGGCCGTATGCTGACGCCACCAAATACAGCGACAGTCGATGAGAAAATGGCGGCGCGGGAAGGAGAGGATACTTGCCAGACGGAACTGGCGAACATAAAAGAGATTGAAATGACGACGCGCGCCGCGCTGGCAACGCCCAAGACGCGGAACCAAAGGTATCCCACATCAATTGATATCGCGATACGGCATTTGATCGACGACCGCCGGCGGCTCAGGCGGCGAGAGGATTCGACTGCGCAGGCGGAGCAGGCGCAGCGCATTGTCCTCAGCGACAGGATCAGGAAGCTAATCCAGAAATCGCAGGCGGAACGACGCTCTGACAAACTCAGCACCATCCTCACGGACTTCCGCGGCATCACAGAGATAAGCCTTATGTCGCCAGCTTCAAAGCGGCAGCGCAGATCGAGAATGGTTGACAAAAGCGGAGTGGCACAATAAACGAAGGCAAACATCGCCGATGTCTTTGCTCAGTTCTACGAGGACTTGTACGCCAGCAAAGGAGTGCAAAGCGAACCTGCCCCGTCGTCGTCAGCTACCCTGCAGCCATTAACACGGGAAGAACTGAAGAATATTTCAAAGACAATGAAACATAGGACGTGCAGTGATGGGTTTGGAGTCGTGGCGGGGATGTTGAAGAACGGGGGCGCCGTCTTGCACGATCGCGTCCTGCAGCAGTTCAACGAGATGCTGTGGCCGGACAAGGAGCCTCGAGCAGCATGGAGGCAGATGAGATTGGTCATCATCTTCAAGGGTGACCCTGAGCTGCCACAGAACTACAGACCGATCGCAATCTGACCAGTGTTGTTTCAGCTGTTTGCCAGGATGGCACTCGACCGTGCCCAGCCTGTCCCAATGTCGAAACAGCCGCCAGATCAAGCCGCCTACCGGGAGGGGTACTCGACAGAAGACCACTCGCCTTCTCTAACTTTACTCCTGGACACATGCCAAGAATGGAATCATTGCGCATGGCTGTGCCTCGTTGACTTCGAGAAGGCCTTTGACACAGTCGATCACAATGCGTTATGGAGAGTTCTTCACGATTTCGACGTCGATGTGCCCTACATCACATGGTTAAGAAAGTTGTACGAAAATCAATATGCTGTTGTCTGTGCCCGAGCAGAATCAAAAAGCTTTTCTTTGGCGCGAGGGGTCCAGCAGGGCGACCCAATCAGCGCGCTGCTGTTCACTGCCGTCATGGAAGCATGTTTCGGGAAACTGAAGAACAGGTGGCGCTCTCTGAACAGGCGGCGCACGGGGCAGTACTGCGGCTTCGTCATCGACGACCCAGAGGAGCCGCTCACGAACCTCTGTTTCGCCGACGACGTGCTGCTGTTCGCGCAGAGCAAGGCCGACGCGTGGAAAAGGCTGGCAGGTCTGCAAAAGGAGGCTTCGCAATATGATTAAGCTGTGCATCTGGGAAAAACGAAGATTCTTACGAACTGTGAGCTAACAGGAGGGGCTTCTGCCAAAGTGGGAGAAGACGACGTTTCTATCTTGCCGCCCGACGCCGTCGAGACATATCTGGGCAGACTTGTTTCCGTCGGACACTTTCAAGCAGCTGAACTTACAAACGGAGCGAACGCAGCCGGGCGTGCCTTCGCCCAATACAAGAGGTTTTTTTTTTCGTAGAAGTACCCCACTGGAATCCCGGCTTAAAGCTTTTCGATTCTGTCGTCACGCCGTCAGCCTTGCACGCGTGCTCCACCTGGGCACTGTGAGTTGCAGATGCACAGAGAGTACGGACCACGTGGCGAAAAATGACGCGCAAGATCTTCCAAGTTCCCAGAAGAGATTGATAACCATGGGTGCAGTACGCGGAGAGAGCTACAATATACATCTGCTTGCGCGCTGCTCAATTAGGGGCCACAGACGGGGTTCTGACGCAGACGCGGAGGAAGCAGTGGGCCTTCAATCAGTTACTTCCACACGACAGCAGCAAGTGGATCGGCAGACTACTCTCGTTGAAACCATGGTTTGCACCGAGGCTTACCGCCGACAAGGGCGACCAGTCTTGCGATGGTCTGACGAGTTCAAGTCAAGTGTCGTCAAGAGCATTGGTTGGAATACGCTAGGAATATGAGAGAATAGGCGAACGAGACCGCCATCATCATATACATTGTTGCAATGGCGCGCTTTCTGTCGTCAAGAGCATTGGTGGGAGATTGGCTGGAATATGAGAGAATTGGCGAAGCGGCGCATTCATCATCATACACGCTGTTGCAATGGTCCGTTTTTTCTTTCCTCAAGAGTATTGGTGGGAGTACGCCTGGAATATGCGAGAATAGGCCAAGCGGCGCGTTCATCATCATACACATTGCTGCAATGGTACTTTCGCTCAGGCCCGCCCGAGCGTCCCGCGCCCAGAAGGGGCTTGCTCTCGCAGCCGGGTGGCGAGCCTCTGTTCTGTTCATGAGTCGCACGCGTCCGTTGATATTGTTGCTTAGGTCAGAGGCCAAGCGGGTCGCGCACGCGCGCGCACGGATCTCAGTCCTGCCACCCCCCCACGGTCCAGGGGTCCTGGGTTGGTCAGCCTCCCGCTGACACAAAGTCCTCCTGCCCCTCCTTCTTCCCCTCCTCCTTCTCCTCCCCTCCTTTTCCTTCTTCTCCTCTTCCCCCTCATTCGAACAGGGCCCGAGCGCGCGCCCGCTGCCGCCGCGTCGGCTCAAACGCGCACGCGGAGTATACGATGCGGAAAAGGAAAAGGTGTGCCGCTCTGCTGTCTCTCATGTTAAAAATTGCCGCCATGTCCCTTACCTTTCACCACTACCACCCGCAATTCTAGTTGGTAGCGGAGTTGGGAGCGATCCCAACTCGCGATCCACAGGAATGCGCATAATGCGATGTGGACGCACATTCGCACACTCCCCAACGTGCTCGTCGGTACCACCCTCCATTCCCCGAACAGTTTGTGCTTGATGGCTGTTCTGCAAGCCGTCTGGCAGTTCGCCGTGGACGCCCACAGGCTACGATGAAGCAAACACCGGACCGTGCGAAACGTGCGAGAGTCCAGCTGCGCAGGGCATCAGCGGTTGCAGGCTACAACGCGATGTGGAGAGACTGGCCCACGGGAACGCACGACGTTTCCCGACCCATCGCACCTCACAGGCGCTGGCCGCAGCCTCGCGTTGGGCATGGATGCGAGGTTCGTGCCTGGGCTAGTGCCGTGCCTCGTGACGTGTGCGACAGTGTTGGTTGTGTTTGCGAGCGCGTCGCACCACTCGAGTGGAGCATTGGAGGTTACTCCACTTATTTCACCACCCTTGACATCAGTCATTGGCAACAACACGACTACGGCTGCCACCTGCTTCAACATGGCGCTCGTCCATGCGCGCGCCCGAACCCCAAGGCGTTCCCGCAGCTCACATCGCTGTGCAGTTTTATCGAGGAGGATATCCATGTTAGTGCTCGGGGGCAGCAAGCCGCTTATCACCAACCGGATGTCGCCGATGCACGTTCTTGTCCCGATTGTGGACCGCAGCCTGCCAGGCACGCATCCGGCGAACGCTGCTGACACCCCGTCCACATGCAGCCAGCACGTCGGCCACGCCAGGAGCATTGCTCACTTGGGTTCTTCGTCTGATCCGCCCCTTTTCGTCAACTCCGAGCTGCCGTACTTCGGCCTCTTCTGATTTTTCCTCGACGCGGACTTCGACGGGGACCTCGTTGCCGCCTGCGTTGGCGCCCCTCCATGATGCGGCGTCCAGGGCTCAGGACGGTTCAGGACAGTTTGTGGAATCCCGGGTGGTTATGGAAATGATGGACGGTTGCAGCCGGGCCAACACATAGTCCTGAACGTTGTCCATGGCACTTTTCAACCACAGTTTGCTCCGCCCTTTCTTCCCGTCTCCCGTCTCCCATCCGCCACTCGTCCTCCCCCCCTCCTTCCTTCTGCCCCTCCGCCTTCCTCCTCTTTCCCTCCTCACCTTTGTTTCAAGATGACGACCAGCACGATCGGGATTGTGACCAGATCGCGCGGTTTAGAATCGTTACTTTTCTCAAGATCAGACGCGCACAAATTGCTCGACGCGTCTCGATTCTCAGTGCCGAAATCTTCGTCGAAAGCCTCGCGGTACCTATCGTCACGCGGCGTTCCGTCAGACTTATCTCGGCTCCGCCCGTCGTCGGTGCCGATTCGTTTTGTCAACGTCCCCCATCGGCGTCGTGTGCGAAGGCTTCCCAAGGCGTCTCGTACGGGGTGGCCGCGTCGACGAGGTGAGGGGAGGGAGGGAAGATGGTTGGGGGAGGGTTAGAGGCACGGGTAGGAGGGATTGGGGAGGGGGGAGAGAGTGAGGAGAGAGATGTGAGGAGGGAGGAGGGAGGTGTGAGGAAGGAGGAGAGGTTCGCAGGAGGTTAGAGATGTGAGCGAGTAGGAGGAGGAAGGTCGGAATATGGAAGAGGGAATTGGGAGGAGGGCGGTGAGGAGAGAGGACACAGAAAGAAGGCTGTGCTGGATGGGGGTCGCAGGAGGAGGCAGGCTGAAAAGGGAGGAGTGAGGGAGGAGGAATGAGGGCAGAGAGTCAGGAGGCGTGAGGGAGTCGGAGGAGAGACCCTGTCGTTGCACAAAAGTTGCACCGCCGTGCGAGATCACTGCCGGAGCCCTCTGGGCCCCATCCTTCTGCACCACTGCTCGAGCCGGATCTTTGCGGGCCCCGGGCCCCGAAGCCAGGAGATGACGCCCGCTGCGAAAGAATCGCAACGCCCGGTTCTCAGGGGAGAGGGAGGGAAGAGGGCCCCGCCGAGGGTCTTTCCTCCCCACGCACCGCCTGGCTGGCGCATATTCCGCGCCCTCTTGGGCCCCCTTCGTTTCCTGCACTGCTCGCCTGCCTCATAGTCAGCTGCGCTAGCCAGGCTTCATTTGTCTCGCGCTCCGCTGGGTCGGCGTTTCTTTTTCACGCACGCTTCAGGCGCTCGCCTCAAGTCCCCAGACATCCGCCGATCTGACGTTTTCAACCCGCGGCCCCAGAGGTCCCGACCCCTTCCCCGGGTCTGGTTCTTCGTCCCGGATCCATGTCTGAGAGTCCCTATGGGCCCGATGACAGGCCTCAGAGGCCGAGATCCGGGCCAACCCGCCGGAGTGAAAAAAAACGATCCTCGGATCAGTGGGTCCAGCACGTCAGAAGAGCCCGGGAGGAGGAGGAGGAGGAGGAGGAGGAGGAGGAGGAGGAGGAGGAGGAGGAGGAGAGGAGGAGGAGGGGGAGGAGGAGGAAGGGGGAGGGGGAGGTGGGGTGAGGGAGGGGAGGAGGAGGAGGAGGAGGAGGAGGAGGAGGAGGAGGAGGAGGAGGAGGAGGAGGACCCAACGTGGGAGGCGCGGAGGGACGGCCCGGCCCCGGAGCCCCCAGGGAGGGCCCCCGGAGGCCGAGCATCGCGAGAAGCCTCCCGTCGTGATGTCTCGGCAGCGCGAGGGTCCTCCTCCTCCTCCTCCTCCTCCTCCTCCTCCTCCTCCTCCTCCTCTCTCCCTCCTCCTCCTCCTCCTCCACTCCTCCTCCTCCTCCTCCTCCTCCTCTCTCCTCCTACTCCTTCCTCCTCCTCCTCCTTCCTCCTGCCTCTCCTTCCTCCTCCTCCTCCCTCCTCCTTCCTCCTCCTCCTCCTCCTCCTCCTCCTCTCCCCTCCTCCTCCTCTCCCTTCCTCCTCCTCCTCCTCCTCCTCCTCCTCCTCCTCTCCTCCTCCTCCCTCCCCCTCCTCCTCCTACCTCCTCCTCCTCCTCCTCCTCCTCCTCCTCCTCCTCCTCCTCCTCCTCCTCCTCCTCCTGGGGGCCAACGCAGCGTCGAGCCGCCCCGCCGAGGGTGGACTACCCGTGGGCGTGCACGGAGGACGGCCGTTCGCACCACTTCGACCTGGCGCGGCGGTGCGGGGTGCCCGCGCTGCTGCGGCGCCGGGCGGCCCGCTCCGGGGAGCGGCCTCGCGGGGCCCGCGCGAAAGGGGCCTCGTGGGTCCCTAAGGGCTTGTCGACTTTTCGCCAATCGACTTGTGAGAATCGAGCCAGATCAACCCAGGTAAATGTAGATAAATCGAGGTCAATCCAGGTCAATCCAGGTAAATCTAGATGAATCTGGGTAAATCCAGGTAAATCCAGAGATCTCCAGGGAAAGTTCGAGCACTTCGCGGCCGCTCCAGCGCGAGTCGAAGGACGGCAGAAGTCGTTAAGCCTTTAACGAGTGGGGCACGGGGAGCTCGAGGAGCACCAGATCTACAGGTCGGGCGTGTCCCTCTACGGGAGGGACGTGCAATACCCGTTTGAAGAGTATTCTGGGGGCGGACTGCTTGACTATGTTTGACCATCGCCGGCTATGGTTTGGCTCTTGTGTGCATCTGTCTTCCCAGGTCCGCCTGTGGGAGAACATGCCCGACCTAACACTGCGTGCCAAGCCACCCCAACCCAACCCGAAGGTCCAAGACCTCCCCAGATTTCGGGTTGTGGGGGTGATGGGTTCCATCGTTCGAGGAACAGAGCGCCATAAACATAAACTTGTGGCGCTACGCCAAAAGTGTGTGTTTATGGCAGTTTCTCTCCTTCGATCCGCGCTGGCCCCCCCTGGCTGCGCCTCCAGCGCCGGCCCTGACGCGCTCCGCGCGCCAAGGAGGGGGGTCAAGCGCGGATCCAAGGAATCCGCGCGGAGCGCCAACATTTTGTGTTTTTGGCGTTGTGTCTTCTTTTAAGGGAGCTCGAGGATCACTACGTGCCAGATCACCCCAGCCCAACCCGAAGGTTCCAGACCTCCCCAGATTCCGGGCTGGGGGGCGTAGTTATGGATTCCACCGTGCCTCCTACCTCCTCCTCCCTCCTCCCTCGTCGACCTCCCTCCCAGGTTCCCTCCTCCCTCCTACCTCCTTCTCCCTCCTCCCTCGTCGACCTCCCGCCAAATTTCCCCGGTCCCTCCCTCCTCCCTCCTCCTTCCTCCCTCGTCGACCTCCTCCTGGCTTTAAGTTCCAAAAGGTAACGTCGTGGTGGGTTGGGGTGGCTTGGCAGGTCGTCGGAGGAGGGCGGGCCTTTCGGGAGACCCTCCAGGCGAAGAGAGGGCAGGAGAGGAGGAGGCGCAGGGAGGAGGCAGAGTGAGGAGGAGGAGGTAGACTGCAGTCAACATCCATGGTAAGGATGCGCGGTGTTCCCAGATCACCCTTGCATTATTTGCCCTCAGGCCCAGTTTCGGCCATTTTAGCTGGCCGGCCCCCAGGGTACCCGAATCCTGGACTTCGTTCGACGTCTGCATCTTTGTATTGCATCTGTCCTATCGGTTTTGACTTTTTTTTCATATTTTTTACAAAAAAAATGTCCTATCGGTTTTGACTCTAGCCGGACAAGGGCCCACGCTGATTCCTCGCATCGGCGCTGGGCCCCCCTGGCGCTGCCTCCGGCGCCACCAATGGCGCGCTCCGCGCGCCAGGGAGGGGGGCCCGGTGACGATCCAAGACGTCTGCACGGGACCTCTGAAACTTTATGGTTAGGATGTTGTTCTTCTCCTGCGTGGATGTGCAACAGGAGGAGGAGGAGGAGGAGGAGGAGGAGGAGGAGGAGGAAAAGGAGGAAGAGGATAACGAGGAGCAGGAGAAGAAGGAGGAGGAGGAGGAAGAGGTACGAAAAGAGAAGGCGAAGCGGGAGAAGGGCAGGGAAGGGGGGACCTGCGGTGCGAGAGGGGACGGGTAGACCGAGGCAAGGGTGGAGTAGGTGGCGGTGGAGGTGTGGAGGTGGAGGTGGAGGATGGGGGAGAGGTCGAGGCGGTGGAGGTGGAGGTGGAGGTGACAGTGGAGGAGGTGGAGGTGGAGGAGGTGGAGGTGAAAAAGAGGAAGGAGGGAGGAGGAGGAGGAGGAGGAGGAGGAGGAGGAGGAGGAGGAGGAGGAGGAGGAGGAGGAGGAGGAGGAGGAGGAGGGGGGGGGGAGGAGGGGGAGGAGATGGAGGCGGAGGGGGAGGAGGCCGAGCCCCCACCCCCCACGAGGCTGACCGAGGCACTGTCCCTCGACCTGCTCGGGCTGCTGGCAGGCCTCTTGGCCCTCGAAGCGAGAGATCGGCTCAGCGTGGGCGAGGCACTCGGCCTTCCTCCCTCGTCGTCCTTGTTGTGTGTCGTCTCTCGCCCTCCTGCCCGTCGTGCTCCTCCTGCTCCTCCTGCTCCTCGCCGTCATTCTTTCAAGAGGTGAAAAAAATCCCGTCGCCCATGAGTGGAGTGCACTCAGCAGTCTTGGGCGTTTGCTAATTAGTCCTGCTGTATTCGATTATTTGCGCGGTGCGTTTGCTAATGGGATTCTCTGTTAGGCTGCCTGGTATGAAGATGGCGATTGTGTCCCTCCTCCTTGTCCTCCTCGGTGCCAGATTCCCCACGCAGCGCTTGCGCTCATAAGGGGTTGTAGCATGGCGTATGGGGAATCGGGCGCGAGTTCCTAAGTTTCGGGTCGTGGCTACCTCGTGGACGCCCATCTCTTCCCTTCGCTCCGCAGCCACTCTGGCTCTCGGGACCGTCAGATACCCAGAATACGTGTAGCCTCGAACACTCACACGCACTTCTTACACCATTCGCTCACTCGAGATGCGATGCGCCAGGCATGCTGCCGCGGCCGTGCTTCTGCTGGTGGTGGGCGTGCCGGCCGTGCAGCCGCGCGCCCGCGGCTCCGCCGCTGAGCGGCCGCGCGCCAGCGGCGTCGGCGCCGAGCAGCCGATGGCGGACGCGGGCGCGGACGGCCTCGAGGCGGAGTACCAGCGTGTCCTCGGCTTCGACGAGGCGGAGTGGCCCGCGGAGTCGCAGCGGCTCCGCTTCGCGGCGCCCGAGGCGGCGGCGGCGGGGGGTGCTGCCAGCTCCCAGTCGGCGGAGGATGTGGAGGAGTTCGAGACGAAGGTGGAGAAGCTCAGCGATGCGTTCCGCGAGGTGGACGTGGAGGCGGCCAGATCCAAGTCAGCGGCGAAGCTGGCGGCGGCGGCCAGACCCGAGTCGGCGGCAGAGGTGGCGGAGTCGGCATCTCCGTCGCCTTGGAGGCCGTCCTGGACGACCACGGCGTTGCCGTTGGAGGAGATGCCAGCGGAGCCGGCGGCGGCCAAATCCGACCTGGGGGAGGCAGCACGACAGGATCCGACCTCTGATCCAGAGCCGGCTGTGACGGCAGGAGGACCCCAAGCAGCGTCAGAGGCATCAGCGGCGCCATCCGAGTCGACGGTGGAGGCAGCGGCGCCAGCAGCCGGGTCCATGACGCAGGCGGAGCTCGAGGAGGAGTTCAGCGAGGCATTCAAGGAGGTGGACGCGGAGGCGGCCAGGTCCAAGGCAGCGGCCGAGCCAGCGGCGGCGTTCGAATCCGAGTCTGCGGCGAAGGCAGAGGAGTCGGCATCTCCCTCGCCGTGGAGGCCGTCCTGGACGACCACGGCGTTGCCGCTAGAGGAGATGCCGACGGAGCCGACGGTGGCCGCATCCGACTCGTTGGAGGCAGCGCGCCCGGGTGCGATTTTCGATCCAGCGGAGGCCGCAGCGGCACCATCGGAGTCGGCAGTGGAGGTGGCGGCACCAGCGGTCGAATCCGAAGCGGCGGTGAAGGCGGAGGAGTCGGCATCTCCGTCGCCGTGGAGGCCGTCCTGGACGACCACGGCGTTGCCGTTGGAGGAGATGCCGGCGGAGCCGACGGCGGCCGGATCCGCGTCGTTGGGGGCAGTGCGCCCAGATCCAATCTCGGATCCAGAGACACCGTTGTCGGCCAGATCCGGGAAGATTGCGGAGGGGCCGGCACCCTCCAAGCTTGTCGGAGACAGCTCGGGCGCAGCGCCCGCAGTCCGCAAGGTGTCCGAGGGCTCGGCCGTTGGCGATCCGCACCTGCAGAACATCTATGGTGAGCGGTTCGACCTGATGAGGCCGGGCAAGTTCGTGCTGATCCAAATTCCACGCGGAGGGCTTGCCGAGGACGCGTCGCTCGTTGTAGTGGCCGAGGCGCGCAGGATGGGTGCCCAGTGCACGGACATGTATTTCCAGAAGCTGAACATCACAGGGGCGTGGGCGGGCAGGGCGCAGCACGGCGGCCTCCGCTTCGACGCTCGCGTCGACCGCGAGGTGCAGCCAAAGTGGACGACGTTCGGGCCGGTGCAGTTGAAAGTGGCTCACGGCCGCACGGACCAGGGGATCCAGTATCCAATGACCTTCGGCCCATCCCGCCAATCGGGTCGGGCGAAAGGGGGGGATTGGGAAAGGGGGGGTTACGAAATTTGCTGCATGCAGCTGGTTTCGGCCTCACCGAGGGGCCCATTCCTCGATACATAGCCGCCTCCGGCGCCGGGAGGCGCCGGGAAAATCAGCTACGCGAGCTGATTCTCAAACCCCCCCTTTGCTATCCCCCCCTTTCGCCCGACCCTAGCCAACCCACCTGGGGTCGTGGGCTTTCAGAGGCCTCTTGGAAGGCATCTTGGGAACTCCTGGAATGTGTTCTGGGGGCACAGTCGAGGCCTTCTTGGTCGGGTATAGCCAGGACCCCAGGTAAGGGGACCGTTAGTGAGGGCCCCAAGCCCAATTTGCCAGAACACTCAACCAGGTCTGCCGTAGCTGGTGTTTTTTCGGGTGACGGCAGTTCCGGTTAGTGGAACGGGGCGGGGGGGGCGCCCCCAGTACACATCACTAAACCAGGTCCCGCTAAACCCAGTTCTGCGAACGCCCGAATTGGGGCCGCTTGGCCCATTTGGAAGTCACCTCGGGGTTTCCCGGGAGCCCCATGGGGGCTTCTGGCTGCCACTCCTGACGACCCCCCCCACCCCTTCGAGTTCCCCCCTCTCGGGCCTCTCTTGGGTTGGTGGCATGCTGGGACTTAGTTTCAAGGCGGGCCTGTCCCCTCCACAGGAGGGACATTCAAAAATAGTAAGAAAATAATGTGAGGACGATTTTTGTTTAGTATGTGGACATGGCTTGCATATGTATTGGCTATGTTTTATTAATTTGTTGAGTATGTTTGGGCATGGCTTGCATATGTCTTGAATAGTTAAATTATCCCGGCAAAGCAACCTAACAGCGATGTGTAGAAGCATAGCTGGAAACATTGCCTGTGGTATTCATGTAAGAGTGCTGTTGTAGAATTCTGGTGTTCTCGCAGTCGCATTCGGATTCGCAGTGGCAGTCGCAGTGGCAACATCAGCGGCAGTCGCAGTGGCACTGCCAGTAGTTGCAGTAGCAATAGCTACACTAGCAGCAGCAACAGCAGCAGCAGCAGTAATAGTAACAGTAGTAGTAGCAGTAGAAGTAGTAGTGATGGTAGTAGTGGTAACAGTGAAGTAGTAGTTGTAGTGTGTGGAGTGAACGAGTAGGAGTGATGGGAGCAGTGGTAGTAGCAGTAGAAACACTGCTTTCGATAACGGTATCTCCAAATGAGATCTTTGTATAAATGCATTGAGGTCTAAACAAGACACTGCTATCAACGGATGTGATTCCAAACGAGACACTGCTATCAACGGGTTGAGCCTCAAACGACACACTTGCATCAATGAATGTAGCTCCAAAACAGGCACTCCCATGAATGGCTTGAGTGTGATGTCGTAGTAGTAGTAGTAGTAGTAGTAGTAGTAGTAGTAGTAGTAGTAGTAGTAGTAGTAGTAGTAGTAGTAGTAGTAGTAGTAGTCGTAGTAGTAGTAGTAGTAGTAGTAGTAGTAGTAGTAGTAGTAGTAGTAGTAGTAGTAGTAGTATGGGCACGGACCCGTAAGACCTGAGTCTCCACCGGGGTGCTCGGCGAAGCCTTTGATGATCATGATGTGATGATTGAGGAGGATGATGGGATGATGATCGCGCTACTTGGATTTGTTCTGTCCGTTTTTCTCGGCCTCCAACCAAATCTTGGAAGACATCTCGCAAACGGAAGAGGAGCGCACTGAGGAGCGGCGTGTGAAGGGGACAGTCGGCAAAACTTGCAGGCTGAGAAGCACCGCAGAAACTCGGAGGCTGAGAAGCACCGCGGCCGCGCAGTCCTACTACTGCTGGAACTAGGATTACAAGTACGCGCGCCGAGAAGCACCGTGGACACGCGGGCTCGGATACTTCACCTCTCCCGCATGTATTGCAGGAAATCGCGCCAGTCCGGCGGTTGGCAAGTACCGAGGAGGCGCAGGCTGAGAAGCACCGCGCGAGTGCAGACTGAGAAGCACTACGCGAGTGCAGGCCACGGCATTGCGTGTCACATGAATGCAGGCTGAGAAGCACCACATTTTGTTTGCCAGAGATCACTCGCAGGTCACCCGATCCCGCAACAACAGCCACGGCGTAGCTGCCACAGGGGCCGCAGAGAGCAACGGTTCGGTCACCCAATTGGCCTGTCGGTGAATCACAATGCGCGTGTGGCTCCATGAGCCATTGTATCGCGCGTTGCGAGGCACCAGTGTGCTGCACGTGTTGTTGCCGTAGCAGCAGACGGCCTCTGGGGCCCAGTGCGGATTCCAGCGGACAACGTAGACCCTGTGGACGCCATTCCGGATGACGTCACGCGCACCCTCGATCTGTGCCACCCATCGAAGCCAGTCAAACGCTGAGCCATCGGTGATGTCAACAGCACCTGGGGCAGTGCAACAGCGTTTGGAGAGCGGCGCTCGCTTCGTCGCGGCCCACAGTCTGGCGCGAGCGGGCGGCCTCTTGCAGGTGCTCTAGTATGAAGAGCCGTGGGGCATCACCGCCAGGCACGGCAGGCTGAGCAGCGCCACCGCTAGGCATGGCAGGCTGAGCAGCGCTGCCACCAGGTACATCAGGCTGAGTAGCGGCAGGCCCAGGCACCGCAGGCTGAGCAACGGCGCGTGGTGGACCGACATAGGTGGGCTCGTCGGGTCGGCCGTTCTTGTGGTAATGCAGGCGCATGGCTGAGCCGTCTGCGCGAACGAACTCAAAGAAATGCACGCCGTGGTCACCCGCTGTTCAATGCAGCAGGGTCAGGAGCACCGCCGCCAGACCGAGAACGATCAGCACGTCCTGGCATTAAGGTGTGCAGTAGGCGCTGCGCAGTTCCTTTGAAAGGAAATCTTCGAAAGCAGGGCTGTAGCCAAGAAGGCTACGGGGACGATGATGATGATGAAGATGATGAGTCTTGGAAGTCTGGGAAGTGGAAGAGCACGAAGTGGCGTACAGTTGGCTCCGGGCATTCAAAATGTGGCCCGGGAGTGGAGTTCTGGGAAGCGCAAGAGCACGAAGTGGCCTACAGTTGGCTCCGGGCATTCAAAATGTGGCCCGGGAGTTGTCTTCTGGGAAGTCCAAGACGCGAAGTGGCCTACAGTTGGCTTCGGGCATCCAAAATGTGGCCCGAGAGTGGTGTTCTGGGAAATCGAAGAACACGAAGTGGCCTACAGTTGGCTCCGGGCATCCAAAATGTGGCCCGGGAATGGAGTTCTGGGAAGTCGAAGAGCACGAAGTGGCTTACAGTTGGCTTCGGGCATTCAAAACGTGGCCTGGGAATGCAGTTTTGGGAGGTCGAAGAGCACGAAGTGTGCGACTGTTTGATTAAAACGAGCCCCGCCCTGAGCCCGGCCCTCGCTGTCCGGATGCCGCCCAGATCTCCCTTCTGAGTCATCAGATGCTCTCTTTTGACACCACTAGAAACCTATCAGTCTTCGCTGTTAGGTAAAAATCGCCGAACATCCCCCTGTAGGTGGGACAGGCCCGACGGCCCGACCTGACCTTAGTTATAGAGACCTCTTGAAACCATCTTGGGCAGAGACTGGGAATATGTTGGGCCATCTTGGACGCTCTTGTCGGCGGCGAGCCCAGGGGATGTGAGAGGGGGCAGGCATGCTACAGTCGGCCTAGATTAGTAGGTCGACCCTGCCAAATCAAGGGCACCCTTGTGTCCTGTGTCTCGCGACCCATGCTTCCTACATTCCTGTGGTAATGTGGCCCTCGGAAGGGTCTTGTGTCTTCTCGCGTGTCCTGTCCAATCGAGTCCGACTGTACAAAGGCGGCGGGGCTTCTCAGAATCTCAGAAGCCTTCGCGCCTTCTGAGAAGCATTGCGTGCCTTCTCCGCTGCCGCAGGCGGCTTCTCAGAAGGCGCGAGGCTTCTGAGAAGCCCCGCCGCCTTCTGAGAGGGCCTGCCCCGTCTCGCTTCCCCCTGGGCTCGCCTCCGATCGGAAGCGCGCGAGTTCGCCCAAACTCACAAGGGCATTTTGAAAGATTGTTTATACCAGGATTGTTGCGAGGACGCTTACGAAAGCTGATCACATTCACTCCAGTCAGTGTCTGCAGCACTTTGGCGGATTTGAACGTCTACGCCAAGCATCTGGGGCAGGCCGGGTCTGCTGTCGGAGGGTTGTTGGGAGAAGATGATCATTCAGAGGTAGCGAAACCTGCGGAGGCATGCCAGAAAACGTTGTCCCTCTCGAGGAAGGATGCCTCGATAGGTCACAG